ACAAAGAAGAGAGGACACCCCTGAAGGAGATCTCCCCGATGTCCTTTTGGAGGGGGACTCTCCCTCCAAACAATAACCACCTCCCCACCCGCCTTCCTGTCCTCCACGCCAGAAGTCACCTCAAGCAAGGTTAGTGTTCTCTCTCTTCATACTGTACTGTACTTTACTTTGTTTCATATTTTTGTGGTTTAAATATATATATATATATGGTTCAGAACGGATTAACTGTATTTACATTGAACCTTATGGGGAAATTTGATTCGGTTCGCGACCAATTTGGTTCGCGACCAGAATCGTTGAACGAATTAAGTTCGTGAACCGAGGTATCACTGTATATAACTCATAAGTATATACAACAATTTAGGAAAAAAGGTGAACAGGATAGAGGATTGACAACATGGCATGATGAAATGTTAGCAAACTTTTCCGCTACCCAAATCTTACAGTGGACCTAGGAGTCATTCTGATTTACCTTAGTAGCTAACAGGCGAGTCAAATATATTTCTGAGACCATCTTGCTGCCACGATCACCTTCTCGTTGATCCATGTGATCGTGATTCTTCACCAGATGCCATAGCTTGGTGCCACTCTCCAGGTCAGGTGTGATCATGGGGGTCCGGGAACGGAGACTGTCAGGGCTGCTAGCTGTCCGGAGCATACTCTCTGTGAGGAAACCACATATAATGGCAACTGCCTCTCCCTCCTTCGCTGACTCTTGGCCTCTGCTGTCCTCCCTCCACCTCACTTAACTTGCAGCATGGCCTGTCATACCATCAAGAAATACGATATGTTTTGGGCTACCCTGTTAATGAAACTTCATTAACTAACTGGCCCTAGAAAAAAAGAGTTCAGTGACTTATTTTTTTTCATCCAAAGGGTCTACAAAACTGATCAATAATGAAGGAAGCTCATTATAGTTCAAGGCCTACTGGCAAGTACACTTCAATTCTAAATAAATGGCTATTTTTTTCTCAGCAAAGTAATGCTTTTAATACTTGCAATAGATATCTCACTTCTCTGAATCATGTACTAAGTAACTACTACTGTACTGTCAAAGACTTTAACTAAGAAAGCACAGTGAAGAAATACACATTTTGCAAGTATAACTAAATTGGATAAAGCAAATTATCAAAAATTAGAGAAGAAATAACCAGAGGCAAAAGCCTCAACTGGGAACAGCTGGTTGAACTACTATAAAATGGGCCTAGGTCAATTTTGTCATGCAAAACCAAAGCAGAAGTCATCAGAAGAGGCTTGGCTGAAACATAGTATCCTTTTTAGTATGCTTTTTCTTAATTTAGGAAGACTTTCATTTTTAATTCCCAGATTGCTACTGAATTCTAGATAGTAAACAGGCAAGGATGTTTTCTCACTTACTCACCATATCTGCTGAGTGATTTTGTGAAAGTGGAGGAGTTGGAAATGTTGTAGGCAGAGTTTTGCTTGGGCACCAGTGCCACGGATGAACCATCCGTTACCTATAGAGAATATTACCAAAATTAAGATTGAAGGAGGATTTCAGATTCACAACCTCTACATCTCTCACTCTAACAATACTGATCTCCTAACTGAGGGTAGCTGAAATAACAGCTTTAACTCCCTATTCAGTGGATTCTCAGAGTCTCTTAGAAATACATTTTTAAATCAACTCTTCTTTTCTTCTCAATAAAAAGCCATTTTCCATTCCTTGGGATTCCCAGATCTGACCTAAGTTTTATCTCCTTCAAAATCTAACCGGCAGGAAAAAAGAGACCTTTTCAGCTTTGTCTAGAATTTGTTCTTATTTTATTCTTGCTTTGTTAGAGCATATTTATTCAATTGTTTGTAGTGGACAGATAAAAGAAAAAGCACAACAGGGCAGCACATGGATTCTCCCAGATCTTGTCAGGAAGGATACAGAGAAAGAGAACAATCTTGCACATAACTTTAATGCTTCTTTTGTTAAACTTAAGAGCTCGAAGCTTTCTTTTTATTCTCTACAAACTCAACATTTGCAAGATATATAATTTAGTATCCTGAGCTTGCTTTTCTTCTTGCAAACATTACCAAGCTAGGTATCATCATCTGTGCACTGATGATGTTGTCTAGCCTGGTAATGAAATGTCTGCAAGAAGAAAAGCAAGCTCAGAGAACACTAAGAATCCAACAATACAATCCAGAGCTACGTCTGTTCTCCACTATTGCAATTTAATACCCATCACTTGTACACACCAGAATCTAACCTAGACTTCATCCTATTTTCTCCCACCAATACTAATCCAACAGGAAAATGAATGATAAGAGCTGTTTGCAGTATCCATCTCTGATATATGAAGTAAACTGAATGAGTTTGTACTCAGATGCCAGGTCTCTTCTGCCTCCGCTATGGCAATAACCCAAGGACAACCACACCTGGTAATGAGCTAGAGTGTTGAGCCTTTTCCAGTCATTGTCGATCTTTGTGGTAACATCTTCATCTTGAAGAATTATCCGAGCCATCCTGCCCTGCCGCCACTCTGCACCGATGGAAGAGAAGGGCATGGGGTCACTGGGGATCGTGCTCACTTTGGACAGATCACAGAATGAAAGGCATGGAGAGCATGTGAATGAGGCATGGCACAAGCCATTTTAAAAAGCCACACCCCACTGTAAACCCCATTATGGTCTTGCTATAGTTGGCAGCAATTATGCTAGGAAAATCTGTTTGGGATGTAATGTAACATCCCAGCCATTTTCTCCTTTCTATGTTTCATGTGAGAGCCAGTCTGGTGTAGTGGTTAAAGGCACCAGGCTAGAAACCAGGAGACCATGGAGTTCTAGTCCTGCCTAAGGAACAAAGCCAGCTTGGTGACTTGGGCTTCCCACTCCTAAGAAGAAGGCAGTGGCAAATCAATTCTGAATCGTTGCCAAGAAAACTGTATGGACTCAGCTATGTAGTTGCCAGAAGTCAAACACTGACTCAAAGGCAACCCCCTGCCCCTCCCCAAAAAAGCTTTATATTGTTCAACTCCACAACCCATTTGGGGGGATTTTCAAGCATATTCTCAGCTTATTCAACCACCTTCTACTTTTACTTGTGAGCCTTACATATTCAGCACCATTATATCAACCGCTGGCAGCATGCCATTTCCTGCCCCCCCCCCAATATTTGGTTCAGTATTTTGTTCTGATTATTCATATGAGATTACTGTTCTTCTCATCTCTCAGATGTTACACGTGGAGCCTTATTTCTTCCTGCCATCATGAAGATTCTTTAAATGCTAACCTAAAATCAGCAAGTGCATTATAGTAACATTTTTACTTGAGAATGAAAGGTGACCTTCCTTGCATACTAAGTGGCATCTATCTCAAGCTATACATTCCTATCAACAATTACCTAGGTTTGCTGAGTGAAGGTTTCAAGAGTGAGGGCTTCATTTTTGCAGCAAAAAGTTGTTCAGGCGTGGAACAATGAATCACCTCTTGCCCACTTTTATGTCTATAGCTTCTCTCCAAAGGTGGGTTTATGGGCTCATTTCTGAGAGAAAAACTTTGAGGTGACAGATTTCAGAAAGGAGAATCCCCAACCAAACTGTCACTCCTTTTGCTACTGGATCCAGCTTTAAACAACAAATCTGCTTCTGTCACTTGTAGATCAGAGCAAAATTATCATTGCAGTCAAAGCACAAAACACTTCTTCCAAGTTTGGTTAATCTTCCTGGTAATTCTGCTATACAATGGGTCTAGTTTCAGCCATTTTAAACTACTATTGTTCTCTTACAATTATTTCTGCTAAGGATGTTTGCAATCTACTTAATGACTGCAATTACATAAAAGAAAATCTATTTCTGATAGGTGATTTATCATTAATATATTTGGTGATATTGCCACTATTATGCATAGTTTGATCCTTGACTATCCCTTAGAGAGCCTAATTCTACTCACAGGATGCTAAGAAAATACTAGGGATGTGCAAAATGGGAAGAGACTATTCCAGAAACTCCAGAATGTTCCATTTGCCTCTGAATAATGGTGAACTTTTTCCAGACAGTGCCTTCCAGGAGATGATTCAGAAGTTTGGTTAGTAAATCCTTCTCTGTTGTAGCATCTGCCCTATGGAACAAGATACTTCTCACAATTTGCTTGGCCTCCTTTCTACTTGCCTTCAAGAGAGCTCCTAAAACATGACTCTTTCTTCAGGCCTTGGGTTTGGGGCCCTCCAGGTTGGGAATGATATGGGGGATTGTTTTTTCATTGTTCCCTCTGAGTGAGTTTTATATAATGTTGTTTTTTTTCAATTTTTAACTCTGTGAAGCTGCCCAGAGTCGTTTTTGGAGTTGGGCAGCCTAGAAATTGGATGGATGGATGGATGGAAGAAAGGAAAAATAAATAAATAAATGCTCTTCTGGAAACATGCATGCCAATTTGTAACTCTTGCACACTTGCCTATTCTTCCTAATATAGAGTGGATTTATCAAAATCAGTTCAGCTCCAAAAAACAAACAAACAAACAAACAAACAAACAAACAAACAAACAAAGTCTCTGTTCAGCCTCTGCCTATTAACCTTGAGTTGCTAGTTTGAAAATACCATTAACTCAGTTTTAAAATGTTGCCTTAGAACATGCAGGGAGGTACCTATCAATGGGTATAGAAGGCCACATGTGAGGAGGGCTGTGGAAAAAGAAAGCAAAATGGCTGCATATACATACATGTGGACAAAGATAAGAGCAGCTTCTGAAGCAGCCACATGAGCCTGGAAAAGCATGCAGCTGCTTTAATGAATTCAAAAGAAGTGTTCTGAAGCATCCTTTTTGTAGGATTGATATAGTCCTAATGTCTTGGTTATATGAATCCACTGTTTATCCTCCACTGACCACACAAGAAACCACTGCTCACCCAAATCCATGTCTCCTGCTTTGGGTCTTTGGGAATATGGTACTCCTTTGTACACAGCATCCAACAGCTTTTCCTTTACTTGTGTGATGGTATCACAATTCAGGACCTTGACTGGGATTTCAGGAGCATTTTCATTCTCAGGGTTCACACAGTTCAGTGTCTATATAAAAGGGAAGAATGAATTATTTTTAATGATTGTTTTAATTTCAAACATTTTTGTACTATGAAGATTTGATTTTGAAGGGCATCATGCAAATTTTAAAAATAAAATAAATATAAATACACTTGTGTGAGGGAATGCTCTGAGTAACACTACAGTTGTCTTCAGAAAAAATGGATGACAGGAAGGGCTGTCGTTAAGCTGTCTTGAAATGCATCACTCTGCTCTATCGTTAGGAAGGAAGTCTGGGGGGAAAGTTTGCTGCAGAATGTTCTCATTTGAAAATAATAAGGAGAATCATAGCTCAGACATAGAGCACCTGTTTGCAAGCATAAGGTCCAAAGTCCAGTTCCTGGCATCTTTGGGTATAGTAGGAGAATCTCTAGACTAAAAGCCTAGACTGTTGAGTCAACTATATTGGAATACATAGGCCAATGACCTGACTTAGTAAAAGGCAGCTGTCCACACATCTATATCTAGCCATGAAAGGTGCACATGCTACTTAAACATAGTACAGGCATACCTCATTTTATTGCACTTCACATTACTGCACTTTGCAGATACTGTGCTTATCAAACAGCATCGCGTGCTACAGAGAAATCTTTCATGAAAGGAAGAGTCAATCGATGTGGCAAACTTCACTGTTGTCTTATTTTAAGAATTTTTTAAATTAAGGTATTTAGATTGTTTCTTTAGACATAATGCTATTGCACACTTAATAGACTACAGTATAGTGTAAACATAACTTTTATATGCACTGGGAAACCAAAATTTTGGGTGATTCGCTTTATTGCGATATTTGCTTTATTGCAGTGGTCTGGAACTGAACCCGCAATATCTCCGAGGTATGCCTGTATCTCTATTTGTCATGGTTCATATTCCTGGAAAAGAAAATAGTATGCTTCTTATATATGGGACGTAGCTAGGGGGTTTTCCCCTTGATTTAGGAAGAGATTTAACATTAATATTAGGAAAGAACTCATATTTATGGCCCACTGAAGCTGTAAAGAATTCTGTGTGTCTGTCTTTTAATGCCATTTTTTTCTTCCAAGAATTCAGACCATAACTTCACTGCTATGGACTAATCCAGTGTTCTTAAAGTGTGGTCCTAGGACCCCTGGGGTCCCCCAAGTCCCTCTGAGGGATCCGCAAAATCAAAATTATTTGCCAGCCCATGTTGAAAAATAATACAATATTAAAATCCCATCAAACAATTGTGAGAAGTGGTAGCAGTAGTCATAATTTTAAATATGACAAATATAACCCATTCAAACAAAAGCTCTCTTGTGGTCCTCCATAATTTTTAAAAGTGGGAAGGGGTCCTGAGAGAAAAAAGTTTAAGAAACACTGGACTACTCTATCAAAAGATTAGAGAATATTCTCACCTCTCCTGTTATAGTACCTCATTTTCTCCTATTGGTCCTGATGTAGGGAACAGCTACTTTGTTAAATAGTTTTGTTACCACTACCACCACCCCCCGCAGAGGGCTGTCGAAAGGGCTAAGACAGAGGGCTAAGAATCAATCCTAGTTGAACTCCCACTGTTACTAACCAACATTTTGTAGTCAATTTGTTGCCGGATGAGCTTGTCTTCACTCAGGGAGTAGCGGGCTTCTCCAGTGATGGCATCTATAGGTCCTTTCTCCATCTGCTGTTTGATGGCACAATACAGCATGAATAGAGGTTCACCTGCACATTCCTGAAGAAAAGGAAGAAGAGAAAGAAGGGCATTCAGTACAACATCTATTGTTCATTTCCAAAGAACCCTGCATATATGAGAGGAATGCAGGAATTGCTATTCTTGCCTTTCAGAAGAATCTGCATCAAAGGCTGATTTTATTAGCCATTATTTCATGATTCAGTTAAATACTTATTTTACAAGATGCTTGCTGCAGGATAAAAAGTATATACACAGAAATGACCAAGTATGGACAAGGTCAGAATTTTGTTAATTATTAAATTAAGTACTGCCTCTAGAAGTAGCTCTATTTGCTTTGGTACGGTCTCTCTCGTTAATCTCTCATCTAAAATAACAGCTGTTTATTTAAACTTTTAAAAAGAAAAAAAATCATTATTTGAAATGTGCAATTCCTGACTGAACTGTATGTATGTATATGCGTGTGTGTGCGCACGGGTGTGTATCAGTTACAAGATATACTTTACAAACAAGGCAGTGAAAAGCTTGTATGTAATAGTTTGAAGAATTTCACTGAAGGTCATTGAGCTACAAGGATTATAACTAATAATTGCAAACCAAGCTAGGGATCCAATATTTTAAGTTCAAATGAAGGCTCTTTCAGAAATTTTGATTCAAAGAGAGATTTGAAGTTAAGAGCAATACACAATTATTTGAAGGCTGTATTTTCTGTGGGTTCTTTATGGCTAAAATCCCTGGAGAATCTAGGAAGCAGTGTTTTTTGGCATAGGCTTTCAAACTGGGGAGTCTATTATTTCCAGGGCTTTAAAGATGGCTGCCCTAACCTGGCCTAGTTTTGAAAGCATATTAAGAGCCTTACTTCCAAGCCTCTTCAAGTGGCTTTGGGCTTTTTTAAAAAAAAAAAGGTAAAAAGATGATAAAAATGATTGAACAGCCCTTAAATTATTTGTACTAATGTAGATAGTATACTACACATATTCTCAGAAATACAGACCACACAAGACATGCATAGGAAATAAGACCTGTGTTAGGACAACAGCCCAATCGATGCTCAGGCAGTGGGCACCTCTGCCGGTAAGATGCATCTCTCAGGAGCCTGGACTTGCTCCTTCAGAAAAGAACAGACGCCACTAAAATCAGATCATTCTCTATTTTTCACACTATGGTTGCAATCTCTAGGCAAAATAATTAAGGTATGCAGATTTGTCTCTTAAATATTTTATTGCTAGAAGCTCAGAGAGAAACTTGCAGCTCCAATATCTTCTCCGAATTTCTCAACTCAACTGTGAATTTCTCCATCCACTATCCTGTATTAATCTGTATTTCAATTAACTTCTATAAATTTCTTTTATTCCTTAAAAATGTTTTTAGTCATGCTGCTAGATTCTATATTTGACAGTAATAAGGTCAACAAGACACTCATATCAGATGGTTTGAAATAAATGCTTCCTGTTGTTTCCTCTACATTTCCTAGTTCATTTCTCTAGTGTCCTCTACTGTTCTTATTATTAAAAAAAGCAAATACATAATCAACTAGTCAGCTTCCCTGTACTGATAAAAGCAACACAATTCTACTCCACTGTGAAACATGTAACCTTATCTATGTCCTGCTTTTCAGAAGTGTAAGAAAAAAAGTACTCAAATTTCAGTTAAGGGAGATGTACTATGTCACAGTGCTTAGATGAAAGAAAAAATTAGAAATGTTGAAGGGTGTGGTATAACTCCAGCCCCAAAGAGTGCCATATTATGCAATAAGAGGTATTTGATAAGAGACTGGATTGTTTATGAGAGATAGGTGTAGGGATGAAGAGAGGAAAACTAATAGGTTGAGAGTCAGGGAAATTATTCCAGTGGGGAGGGGTACCACTCCAAGAATTGTCATTGGGAAAAGAGACATGGACTTCAACAATTATAGATTATTATAGATCTGACCTATAATACAGCTATGTAGTTAATCCCCAAAATATTCAGTACTTTGAACAGCTCCTTATGCCCAAATTATGGGAAGTTAGGAACCCAGGAACAACATTCCAGATTACCTCTGTGGAGTCTCCTCTTTTTCTGTTGGCCACCAGCACAACAAATTCTACTTTGGTGCAAAGTGAGCCTGCTCTCTCTGTCACCATATGCTGTTAGCATCTCGTTAGCATCTGCAGTAATTAAAGAGACAGCTGCTAACGAGCAGGAACAGGCATACATCATCCCTAGACCTTCCGACAACACGCCTGTCTTTGAAATTATGTTTCATTTGCAAACTTGGCTTCATTAAGTCTGCTTGGGAAAAAAAATGTGGGTGCTGCGCTGTTTATTAATAACTGTCTTGTCTCCTCATAATGCACAAGCCACATGATGACCGTACATTAACAGGCACACATGGCAATTATGCTCCAGCCTAGAAAGATACTCCCGTTTTAGCCCTTCTCTCTCCTTTCAGGTGAAGCCAAAAATATAAGTTTCTTCCCAGGCAGTTTTTGACTGCTCATAAAAGGTCTTTGCAAACCATTCAGCCACAAAAAGCAACATAGGTAGAGAATAAATTGAAGATGGCTCCTTGGTCACATCTCGTTTGTCTATTGTGTTCTCTTGGCATATCGTTTCTTACCACTTGCAGTCAGCTGACAAGCCACGCATTGCTTTGGGGCCGCTGTGCCAGACTTTTCATCAGGGCTGTTTAAAGTCCTCATAAGAGCAGTGGATTGCTTGTTCAAAAGCACCTCTGAGGACTAACCCATTTACTATTCTTATTCTAGAGAGGTTTGAGAGATATAATGTATCATATAAGAGACAATAAAAAGAAAAGTTCTGCAGTTCTTAAAGCTCTGGATTAACTTGTTAATTACTTTATGTTTGCTAACTGATCTTGTGCTTTCTGACTCTCAGCTGTACTTGGACAGGTACCTACATCATGCAAGAGTGAAAGAACTTTCTGTAAGAATTAGTGGATTCAGTATTTGTTTGCAGTGGGTAGTGGGAGGTCTTGGCATGGGTTTACTAAAGAGCAGATTGGAGTTTCAAACTAACAGGGATTAAGCCATATAAAAATCGGCCATTGCATCCACCCTAGGAAAGCCAGCTTGAGCTCAGTAATTCAGTCTTATGCCAAATAATGTATTAGCCACCTCTTTGTTATTCAAAGATAGCTACCACATACTGACTCCACATAATCCATTTTGGCATTTGGCTATTCTGCTCAGTTTTCCAACATCAAAAAACAGAGTTGTTTTGTCTAATGAAATATATACGAACTATATTATGAAATATATATGGACTCTGGTGACTATCCCGGATAGTTACCAGAGTGTGTTGCATACCTCGCTGAACCTGTCCATATCAGGCTTCCCTGGAGGCCTTTACGTCGTGTGCATGAATGGTAAAACTGGTCCTGGCTTTCAGTTGCAAAGATTAGTGTCTTAAGTTCAACTATGCACAACTGTCTGTGGCTTCAGTGCCTGCTATAGTTTCCAGGGTACCAATTTGGTCATTTTAGATACTGGGTTTAATAATCATTTTGGGGATAGCTAACCATAGGCGGCTTTGGGAAAGCCCTGTTTCAAAAACTAGGTATATTTCACAAACAAATTTAAATAATAGATTAGCCCATTCTTCTAGCAAAGTATAATAGGCTGGCATGATGGGAATAAAAACCAAGCCAAAGGCTGCCCACTGAAGGGCAATTCACTGAGTTTCTCTCCATCTAAATTCTGCTTCAGGCTGCTTAGAGTTCCAAATCCCTCTTTCTTCCTCACACACATACAGCACCATCATGTTGCAAAAACAGGGAAATATGCCCTGACATCTTTAGGCAAGCAGCTATGTTAACTTAACATAATAGCCCCAAACCTTTCTTTCTTTTCTGAGCAGCAGGGATTAAGTGCTGATCAGCAATATTAGAAGTAACACTTTAAAACTGAAGAGGGAGATATGCCCAAGACAAATCACAGAGACCACTGTGTTCAGGCATACAGCACTTTCCCCTGGGGTCACCAAAAATTGGTGCTCAGTCTTTTAAGGACATAAACCTAAAAATCCTGTTATGTCAAATATTAGGAGTGATCCTACAGCTAATATAGGACGAGGTTTTATAAAATGAGCTCCTGGTTCTGAGATCAATTCCTCTAGAGAAGGAACCAGAGAGAAAGTAAAACAATGGTGAAAAATCCTATTGACAACTTGCTGTTGTGCTTACAATGATGTCTACACAATGGAGTGCTGATGCTTACTGCCCCAAATCCGGTAAGCGTATTTTTTCTGCCCACCTAGTGCCCTTCAGAAGTGTGCAGTAGCACAATCAATAGCTACAATGGCTGGGACCTCTGTGAGGTGTAGCCCAATACAAGTGGAGAGCACCAGGTTGGAGAAAGAAAGAATTAACTGAAACTGCAGAAAGCAGCGGGAAGTATAAGCTTGGCACACGAGTGCCTGTGCATATGTGGAGGCCTGAGGCAGTATGAGCCACACTAGCTAACACTCACACAGTGTCTTATTGATGAGATTTAGCTCATCAGGCACCTAATATTGTGCATTTTTCAATGCTCCTCTTTATCTGTTTCACTCTCCTATTCCCTAGGATGGCTCATTAGGAGGCTGATAAACGGCACTTGAGGCCTCAACAAACCACCAGTCCCAGAGCTTGCTGATTTCACAATGCCGGCTTATCCCCACCTTTTTTGCAGCACACAGCTAAATGGGAGAGGAGGGAGAGAATGCTGATCTCATCCCTCGGGGGGCTGAATCAATATATTATTTTGGGAGTCTAGCTTTTCCCTCTTTCATGTGCCTTGATGCATTACTGTATAGTGGTCACAAGGGACTAAATAATCCCATGTGTCCTACATAGTTATACCTTTGGGAATAATTCTTCCCAATCTGATGACAGAATAGCCAGCAAGGGTATAAATACAAGGTTGCCCTGGGGCATCCTGTATTAAAAGCCTTCCTTGGCACTGCTGTTCTGATCATCAGTAATTGGTGGCTCAAAGACATGGACCCAATAGAAACACCCTCCTGAAAAGCAGAGCCCTGCCAGCATCCCCCAATGATGCACTTTCACGAAAATCTGCTGTGTACGTGAAAATATAGATATTTTTGCTTGCTTGATTTGCTTGCACAAGTTTGAGCTAAGGGATTAAAAAACAAAACCTGCTGACATTCTGCTTGCTTCAAAGCCTGTTCTAAACATCTTAACTACCTTCTTATTTGACAAATATTTGTAATATTCACCCACTAAAACCTCTCAGAGGTAAAAAGAAAGAGAGAGAGAGAGGGAGAGGGGGAGGGAGGGGGGGAGAGAGAGAATGAGAGAGAGAGAGAGAGAAGAAAGTGCCTAACATTTTGTCACATTTTAGATGAGGCATATGTTCCCAAGTCTTAGGAGATCACTCTTTCTTTCCCTCTTTTTTATACCACAGGGCCTGTAACACAGACTTTTATTATGTCTCCATAAGTACCCCAGTGTTATTGCAGAGATCTTTTCTCCAGACTTCCTAGACATTTGTTTATGGGAACTGCTGTTTGCAAACATTACTCTTTTCTACTAAAAATCCTAAGCTATACAGGGTGTAAAGATGACAAAGGGTGATGTATTAGGAGAACTGGCATGTTTTTGACCAATCTAATTTTTGTTTCTTTTTTTTAAAACTGTCTAGTTTACTGTGGCTACCAGGAAAATAAAACCCAGCAGCAGCAGCAGCATGACTGATAGCCCTATGATGGTGAGCTGGGATTTGGAACTTGACAATTGCAATCAGGGGAAATCAGCGGGAAATTCACAACTTGGAAATACAGTTTATCTATTTCAGGAGTTCAGCAGATTGGGATAGTTTTTAAAGACGTGGGGCTGTACCATTTTTCTTTAAAAAAACAAAATACCAGACCAGCTCTTGGAGCATCCCACAAACAGTTTAAGGCATATTTCCAGACCACACTGTATTTCATTTTCCCTCACTTGAATCCTATGCTGAAGCACAGCATGGAATAAATTGTAAGTCATGACTGTATTTATGGTTTCTACATTTCATATACAAAGTATGATAACAGCACACTTGTGAGAAATCTACCAGCTAAACAATATCTCCCATAGAGGAGAAGTAAAACTTATCATCAGCTTCAGATAGAACATATAACCGATAATTTGCTGTAGTTGTACTAGCAGTGTAACATAAACAAACTCCTTTTCTTTCGCTAAGTTTCCATTCATTCTTCCTGCAGACACTTATGTTCCATGACTTTACCACCATGGATCAGACAAGATAGTTTCTTACTTGGCTCCTACCAAATACTATGCAAAAGTACAGCCAGAATAAAATAAACTGTGTAGTTATGTTGGGATAATTAAAAAAAAAACCAGAAAAGAATATGTTGGCTTCAGCAATGGGCTTAAGAAATATTTAAAGAGAAGCAAAAGTCTGTTCTTCTTATTCCTTTGCAAAGTATTATACATTGTAGAGTAGCGATATACTTTCATAGATACAGGATATCCCTAGATGGAAGCAAGGAGTGAAGTGCCTGTAACCAATAATATTAAGCACTTCTCAGTTGTGATTGCTTGCTAGTTGCATAGCTTTCTACTTGTTTTAGAAAGCATCCAAGCTTTCTTTATCTTAACAAGGGATGGTATTTAAAAAAGCAGCTGTGCTCTGTGCCATAGCAACTCGCTGAGTAAAAGCCTGGCAAGATCCTACTGGCATCATTTTTTTACGTATAAACAAGCATAGATCTGTAGCCGCCATTAACCCAGGAATCGTTCTGGCATGTGCAACAAAATTCCTTCAACACATGTGTGTGCTAGAAAACTATAGTTTTAAGTTCATCAGTGATACAGCGGTTCAAGGCTTTAGGTCAGGCAATATTGAAAGTATTCCCTCTGCTGAAAGAACCTGAATCCTATTCAGGCCTACTGATTTTGCTGGGGAGAACTGAACAAATGGAAGACATTATATCACACTATAATCAGGTGCTGAGTAAGTGATTATCAAAGAAAAAAACACATCCCATGAGCTGAACCCAACACTATCACAGGAATCCTGTAAATTATTCCATGCTGCAACAATTCTGGTTCCACAGTTTCTTGGGAGGGGATGTTCCTTTTTCTTGAATTCATAGTCTATTTTACCCAAATAACTTTTCAGTTGCTCTCTTCTCCAAATGGATTTTATTAATTTAATTTAATTTATGTGGCTGTCCATCTCACGAAAAAGTGACTCTGGGCAGCATACAACAAAGTTATAAAACAGTCATTAATTTAAAAAAAAAAAATCACAAGGCATAAGAGAGACTAGATGTTAACAGCAATAACAGAGCTCCCTCAAGATCTCACCAGTCCCCTGGGATCCCCAGGCTTGATGACATAACCAGATCTTGAGGGACTTCTGGAAAATCAACAGGGATGGAGCCAACCTCCCTTCAGGGGGTGGGGGAGAATGTTCCATAAGGCGAGCACCATGGCAGAGAAGGCCCACCTCCTGGGGCCTGCCAATGTACCTGCAGCATGCCTCTTCTGCCAGATTTGATGGGATGGGCAGATATAATCAGGAAGAAGCAGTCCCTCAGATAACCTGATCCCATGCCATGAAGGGCTTAAAGGTCCAAACCAGCACCTTGAATTGGACCCAGAAGCAGACTGGCAACCAATACAGCTCATGGAGCAAAGGTGTAACGTGAGCTGTTCTAGAGACACACATAACTGCCCACGCCACTGCTTTTTATTTAACCTGATACTTCAATCAGCGCCTCGGATGGATTCTAAACAATCTATACCTCTGCACCAACCAATTGATTATGAAGATTAAAAAAGGACTAAGGACAGCAGCAAAATGGAGAATGTGTATCAAAGCATATCCTTCATATTGTACAATATATTCTCCCATTATTCCTAGTGAAAAGGGTTTTAAAATAACATTCTGAACATTTGCAGCATTTATAACAAAAAGATTTTAACAAGAAATGGAAAACAGCTCAACATTGTTATTTTTATTTTACAAAAAATGAAACCTCAATTGGACTTAGTGTAGTACCAGCCCTCCCAAATCCGAAGCTTCTTGATTCACAGCATAGTGTTTTAGACAAATATATTGTCAACCTCCAACAGATAAAAGATTCTGACAAATCAGCACTCCAGTCCTTTCCCCCGACACTCTTAATATGGTTCACACAATATAGCACTTACCTTTAGGAACTTGTACAGAAGAAATGTGAACCAGTTGGTCAGCATTTTTTCAGCCACTGACTCAGTCCTGTAAGAAAAGTAGAAAATAAATACAATGGCAGGAAAATTCAGAATTCTCTTATCTCCCTTGAGATCTTAAACCTTTTAGTTATCTTAAAGACTTTAAGAGTCAAATTCTGAAAGGCAAGAACCTTAAAACAAAAAGGAATACTGAAGTTTTTATGTAAAATTGAAAGATAAACTTAACAACCAATTCCAGTTTGTCCCCATTGAATTCATTCCAGTAAAAGACGGTCCTCTACAAGCTATATACTATTAGGAATAAAACAAACCCAATATCCCATCATCAAATCTTCAATGTAATATAGGGTAGTTGAGAGGATCCACAGAAAGTTCTAATTCAGAACAAAATTTGTGTGTCTTATTTTATCAGTTCCTTAGAAATAGAAAGCAGAGATGAAGGAAGTCAAATTTACAAGTTTTCTATAAATTCTGCCCAGCCTACACCCAGTTAACAATTGTAGTAAAAGGTAGTAGCTGCAGAATACAGACAAATTCTGAACAACTTTAAACTTTTTTGTACCTCAGTGAATTATCTTAGCTGGATTTCTCAGACTACTAACGTTAATGCTATAACAAGACAGCAACTCCTTACATCATGTATCATTTGATGGTCTACCCAGTGGTCACTAAGAGGAACCTTCCACCCAGAATACAACACTAATCACTGAGGGCAAAGCAGAAGTATGAAACAGTAATGAAGGATGGGTGGATATCCTCCACCTGTGTTTCTTAGAAACAATCAAAGGACTTAAATCCACTTGCAAAACCCAGGTAGGGACACTTTCTCCCTTCTGCTTCTTGCCCTTTACCACTGGAAAAAAACAAAGTCACACATCCACCACTTTGCCTTTGCAAAAGGACAAGCGGGTTAAGAAGCTCATGTGGCATCAAGTGGGTTAAGAAGCTCAAGTGTTTACAACAGAGACATGAAGATGTCTCTGTTGTAAACATTAAGATTAACATATTTATCAAACATTTAAACTATGCACATTTATTCAGCATGAAAAAATGCAGGTGGTTCTGATTGAAATTCTTTATGCTTTTTTTTTTGACTGCTCCATCTATTAATCATCAGATCAGCTATTTCATATTCAAATTATCACAAAAGCACAAGCAACGCTAATGACCTCAAGAAGGTAGCAGCCTTTTCATTGCCATAAGGAAACAGGAAGGTAGTGTTACTGAAAATACCAAAATCAAAACAATCAAAATTCCAATTTTCTAGGACTAGAAGCTGCATGGATTTTGAGTAGTCTACCTAACACAAAGGAGTATCAGGCAGAAAGGAGCAGTTAGCTGGTGCAGATTGTTTTGAACAAAACAGGAACATGGCAAATGTTATTTCCTGCCTACTCCCACCTTCTGCCTTGATTAAATGAAGATGATGTCTCCACATTTTGGTTTTCTGCCCATTATATTCGTCTTTTGCTTTCCTCACAAAAATAGGCCTGATAAGTTGTGACAAGGGTAGGAGTGGAATTTATTGGATTCAAATTTAAACACAAATGACCTAATTTCTACTTCCTAACTAGTAGATATTCTAAATAAATAAATCCCCCACCCTTCCCTTCTGGTATGCAGCCTGGTTATAAGATAAAGAATGACAGCTTGCATTCAGCATGATAGAAAAGCTAATGTGGAAAAAATGTGTGTCCCTTAAAAAAAAGGGGGGGGGAGAAGAAGCCTAAAATAGCCCAGATAGTTTTATAAATCCAATTGTTGGGATAAACTTGGCTCTGAGTGAAACTAACAATATTAAGGTTTCTGCCACTGTTCTGAGGTGGCTTTCTATAGTCAAGGCTTAATGACTATATGTTTATATGTTACCTAAGACTACATTTTATAATACAGATTTATACAAAACATATAAATGTTAAGGCTGTTAGGCTTGGTGTAAAGGCGTACTTTGGTCTGAGAAAAGCACAGAGGAAGAAAGTTTAGAATAAAACTTTCTCTTCCTGTGCAGGAAGTGATACGGGGAAAGACTATAAGATCAAGACTGGGGAAATAAACTTTGGAAAAACTGGTTAAGAATAAAACATGAAACTTAAGGCTAGGCTTAAAGCAATTTGTCACTAAGGCAAGTAGTATTAAGCCTCTTCTTCAAAACTGTCCTTTTTTCTGCTGTCTTCTGAACTTGAATCTCTTTTTTCCAGTTCTAGAATGTACTGGTATTGACTGAATACACATACTGCATTCTTGTAAGAACAGCACGTTACAAAATAAAATTAAAATTATTTTATAAATAATTTTGTAAAATAAAGCCTAAGAAAATACTGTTAGCACAGATCAAAGATCTGAATGAAGAGGTGTGTCTGGACCAACTCATAAAACTGCAGCAAACAGGTTGCATCTCCAGATGTAGAAGGTTCCATTGCAAAGATGCTACAGAGGCTGGGGCTCAGATGACTAATGCTTATCTGGTACTGATCAACTATGACACCACAAGTCCCTGTCCAAAGATCTTTAAAACCTGGCTGGTATGCACCAGATGTAAAATGTTCAGGCCCCAACATATTTAGGGATAAGTTGACAATGAAGTTGACAGGCTAGTTTTACTGTATCTATGACACCATCTAAGTTCAGAATGCGGGCTTCCTTTACACATTATATTTCATTACATTTGGTAGGTATATACCGTTTAAAGACTAAAGAAAGGATAGTATATGAGATCATATCAAGAAGCCAGAATTCACTGTGGTTTCCCCTTTGAATAAATGTGTAGCAAACAAGGATCTATCCCAATGTAATATGAGAAATAGTGCCAAGTTCCAAAAGAAATCCTCCTAATGTCTGCCAAAAAAATCATATACCCTTCCTCAATTTTGGTATATTTCCTCTATTTCCCTTCTTTTAAAAAAGGTGCAAAAACGTGTATTCTGCTAGTCAATGATCTCAGACTGTGCACCCCCTGCCACACCCAGTTAATAGAGATATTATACAGTATGTGGCAGTTCAGATTGCCACAATTAAATCACTATTTGAAGTGGCTGACATATGACTTCAAACACTCAGTCATATGAACTGGGTGCATGCTTGACAAGACACATCTGGCAATGCCACTATTTGACATGTCCACTGCATATTGCCTGGCGCAATATGGTTCATGGGGTCACGAAGAGTCGGACACGACTTAACGACTAAACAACAACAACTGCATGTTTATGAACATGAATTTACCTTCTTGCATGGCAATGTTCTTTGCAAACATCAGGATATGTACAACAACTAGAACTACTATTTGACCTGTGAACTGGCCTAAAGCCTATGCTGATAAGGAAGTTAACCCTTGCAAAACTAGATTGCTAAAAGCCAAAGAAAAGGAACTTAGACAATGGATATTATAGTGCACATTTAATAATTTTTTGTTCTGCAGTTAGTGTATTTTTCAATGTGCTTTGGGCTATAATGCAGTAAACCTATTTACCTAACATTTAAAAACTTGATGGAGCAGAACAGACACATAGAGGAACTGGAATACATTCTTGACAGGTACTCTTCTCCTGCCTGTGTTGAGACAATGCTCGGGAAAATCTGCTTATTTTATTCCGAAACAATCACTTGTTAGAGGCTGAAAAAGCAGTCTTGGAGAAACAATTGAGAGAGAACGACATGGCAAAGAGAGGCCTGATGCATTGCATGCAGAAAGAGGACAGGTCCCTTTTGGACCTGTGGGAGAACAATGGCCTGCTCCCTACCAACCAGTCTAAACATTAGAAACAAGACTATTGAAGGACAATAAGTTTGCAACAGACATCATTTGCAATTAACAACTAATCAACCCTGGATTTAGAGGAATCTGTAAAAATACAGTATCTATGGGACAGAGTATCGGTAACCTGCAAGAATGTCAAAAAAAGTTTAGGGAGGGAGGGAGGAAGGAAGGAAGGAAGGGCGAATTGCAGATTGCTTTAAAGTCTTTTTGTTTGCCTTCTGTTGAGTGAAAACAAAAACAACCTCTCAAATGCTAACAAACAAGACACAGCAGTAAACTACTACTGCAAATCAAGAATGCATTTATTCTTTCAGTGCTGTATAATCATTCTTATGGTCATCTCCCAAGTCTTTTAATACTTTTTTTTTCTTTTAATTTTTATATCACACTGTCTTCATGGTTACACCCCTCCCCCACATAGAAACATATTGTTTGTTTAATAAAGCATAGAATTATTCTGCAAAGAATGCTAACACTGAGTGGATGCTGTTGAAACTGGTGTATAATGAGAACTTCTACATTAAAGTCTCATTTAAAAGAGATGCTGACACACTCAAGTATCTGTTCTCACATTTAACAGAAATATGATATCTCTGTCTACTGAAATCCAATCTGTTTGTCACCCTTTTTTTGATATCTGATTTACAAAGATACATTGTGTATAAAAATATTTTAAACTTTAGCTTCTAAGTTCTTACCACACTCATAAATGTTCAAACTCATAATTGAAATACTAAAGGCCAAAAAGTCTCTCCTACTTGCTCAGTTTGGTGAATTTTTCATCTAAGAGCAATCATTCTGTTTTCAAGAAATGCTCAATTATGAAAATAACTACTTATGAAGTGACGGTCCTATCATCTCAGTGCTAAATCCATGATCAACATAATTACAAACA